TTGATAATCATACATATATTCTGAATGATCTCAAAGTCTGGCTCTTCCCACTTTTTGTTTTCGCTTTCAGAGAAAATTTAAAAGATACTTCTCCTAATAAGAAGTCTCACAATATTCAAGAACTTCTATCATATTTATCCCATTGATAAAATATATATACTTTTTTTGCCTCACACCTCTCCCTTTTACATAACTTGTAATGCTTTGTAGGACATCCATATTTGATCTCTTTTAATGCCTTTAACTATGTCAAAACATCTGTTCCCACAGGCAAACCAACCTCACTACAAATTGTTATGTATTGCCATTGCTGCCTTCTTTGGCTGGGAGGTCCTCTAGATGAATGCTGTTACCGCATTCCTCAACTCTGATTTGTTTGCAACCATCTATTTTGATTGACCCAAAGGATTCAAGCAGCCTGGTGAGGAAAAAAAGCCCTTTTACTTCTCAAATCCTTGTATGGCCTTAAAAAGGTTTCCAATGACTGGCAGGATGGCATTGAGGAGTTCCTTATTAGTGTGGGGTCTGTACAATGTGAAGTGGATCACTTTATTTACATTTGATGTCAAGGTGATAGCTTCACCGTAGTTAATTTTCAGGTGGATGGAATGAACTTGCTATCACTGGCAATGACAAACTAGACTTCAAAAACAAAATCTCCTCTCCCTGTGAAATGGAAGACTTGGTTGGAAAAGCAACGGGGTGGATCTTTGACAAAAAGTAATGACTGTTTTTCCATCAGAAATTCCCCAATTCCATATGAGAAAGATATTGAATTAACTCAAGAACAACACAAAAAATTGTCTTCAGATTCCCTAAGCAAATTACTTAACCTTGCTTAACATTGAAAAGGAAGTATAGAACACATAACCAACACTCTAAAACTGGGAGACTTTAAAGAATAGTTGAGACTTGATAAGCAGAATATGGCAGCTGACCACACACTCAATGGAGATGATTATTTGAAACTTCTTGATCCACCAAGATTGTACAGTTCCCTCCAAGTGATTCACGTAATCATTCAAGTTCTGCAGCTGCGGGGCCAGGTTTTGTCCAGAACCCAATGATTACGGTTCCTAGATGTGGGGACGGGTACACTGAAGCAATGAGGTCTAATGAATAACCAAATTGCAAAGAGGCATGTGATGTGGAGGTGAGCATTATGGACAGAATGTGTGTATGCCATATGGAAGGTCGTGGACAAAGCAACAGATCTTGTTCCTATAGATCTAAAGTGTGTGTTTGCTTATAAAAAAGTTGATGAAGATGGCAATCCAATCAAATTTAAAGTTGACTCATTGCAAAAGGATTGAAACAACACAAAGGCATCAATTACACCAAAACTTTTGCACCAGATGCTACATTTGTGTGTTTGAGGATCATGTTGACTATTGCTACATGCAGGAATTGGCCCATACATTGATTTGACATATCATCAGCCCATATAAATAATGATATTGACTCACTTATTTCTCAATCCATACCGGATATATGTGTGGGACAGCACTATTTGGCAACCACTTTGGAAATACCCAAAGCCCGCTATTTTCGGTACATAACCCGCAGATTCCGAGCAAACCCGGACCCGCTATCACCCAAATTGTGCCGCAGCCGCAGCAACCGGGCACAAAGTAGATGTCTACCGCCCTCAAATGGAATTCAACCGCCCTTCATGACCAAACAGGGCAGTTTTATCCAATTAGTGGGCTGAGCCAAAACCGGGCGTACCCTTCATCATTGTATCCTCCTAATCCAACCTTCGCCTCATTTGATTGATCTCATCAGAGACAACTCATAGTTCAATCAAAAAAGATTCATCTCGTGATGAATCGATTCATTTTTTTGATTCAATTTATCGACTAAGAGCTCAGCTGATGAAAGAAACTGAGACACGAGTATTGGAGCAAATGAGGTGGAGCACATTGGAGAAATGACAACTGCAGTCACTTACAATGGTACACGAGGACCTCAACGGTACAAAGATCAAAGTGTCATATCAGTATTGATCACTTTTACTCGTTGATATTCTGTGATTAGAAAATAAGTCATATTGAGAGTTTGGTACAGGAGAGGTCTAGTGAGTGAGAAAACGAAACAAAAACAAAACGGACAACCGGGCTCTGACATCAAAAGCGGGCGCCAATAGCACTGAATAGGGTGACAAAAAACTAATGATCCGACCTCCAGGCGTCGGGTCAAAAAAACCGGTCGCCAAATAGTGCTGTCCATATGTGTGAAGCAAAGAAAAAGAACAAAGTATTCAGATAAATCGAAGCTTTGTATGGAAATAAACACTGTGCACAATGCTGATGGAACTTGAACTTGAAGCATATTAACAACATCCTTACTTGAATGGGATTCAAATCAAGTCCATGCCATTAATCCCTTTGCATATATTGGTGTGGAAGTGACACATTCATCATCTGGTTGCACAGCAACAACAGTGGAGTAACAGGGAGAGTTACTAGATGTAATTCATAATACACACAAAGAAAAATTGTCAAGTAAGTGGGAAAGAAATTTATATCAAATAATTGGAGTCAATGTAAATCGTCTTCAAGATGGAAGTTTTGATTTATCTCCACCTGGCCTTACCAAGAAAATCATGCAATCCATTTTACCAGAGAACGTTCAGCAAAGACACTAATGAACATTCAAAAAGTTTCAACATCACCAACTGAAGAAGAAGAAAAAGCAGGATCAGAAACATACCTCTCAAGTCTCAGCAATCAGAAGCCTCTGCTACCTTTCAGTAGCAACACTTCCTGATATTACATACACTTTCAACTACCTCACAAGATTCTTATCATACTCAAGAAAGTAACACCGGAGCACCATTGAATATCTAATCAGACATTTCAACAAAACTGGTGTGCAAGAATTATCAATGAACCCCATCAAATCAAAAGTTGATACCCTGATTCACACTTATGTAGACACAAACCGGGGAGGTGAAGGAGCCCAATTATTACATGAGTTTATTACATATTTCTCAAAATGACCAATTTCCTGGAAGCCTAGAAGACAAACCTGTGTTGGTTCATCTACCTGTCACACCAAATATATGGCAATGGGTACTGCATGTAGAGACACAGTATGGTTGAGAGATTTGATAGAAGATATCACTGGTGAATGCAAAATTGTGAACATGTATTGCAACAACACATCATCAATACATGGAGCGTGCAATGACGCTTCAAACAAGTGCACATGCAATACCAACAGAGAATACTATTATACAATTGAGCAGATCTACAAAGAAAGAGTATTCTTACATTGGATTAATACTGGGGGTTTGTGTTGTAATCATGTGATCCTAAGACCAACTGTGTGCTGCAGTCAACAAAACTCAGTTCAGCCAAGTTTGAGATTCCACATCATTGTGAAATCAAAGTTTTTGTGCTTATGTGATATTTGTGTTTCTACTTTTCACCATACAGAGGTCTTTATAACTCTGTACAGGTCTTTTTGTGAACCAATGTTCCTCTGCAACGAAAATTTTATTGCCGTCCCAGAGGTTTGACAAAATTGATACTCAGTCAAATCCATTAATCCTGAGGCCAATTTTTTGAGTATTGGTTATATCAGATTCTACTGTGGTCATGCAATGGGATGGGACCCCAGCTAGCCCCAGCTAACCCCATTGTCTTGCTGAAGACAAAAAGCCAATTTTGGCTGAATTATCTTATTTTTTTGGCATGTTTCTTTGCAGCAAAAACCATCTGTTTTTTGCCCAGAGCTATTATGTATCTTGTGTATACAGAGCAATTCCGCCTTCATAATATCTTCAATTGAGGCCAGACTCACCACAGTCTCAGAAAATTACCTAGGATTGATCACATAAATTTCAGGAGGTCTCCTATGTTCCAGTGCACTTTATCTGTACAAGTCAAATGGTGCAACTGCCGCAGCCTACTGAGATGAGACACCTTAATTTCTCATGTACACATTTATACCTGCAATTGATATACACCATCTCTTCTGGGTTACTCAGCAGGATCTTACCAAATCAGAAGAAGGGATGTGATCTACCAAAACAAGGCTTTCTGGTTTGTAAGGTTCTATATATGTGCCAAAATAGGGCTCTTGATGTTTGTTGTCTATGTATTTGGAGGCAAATTGGCTGAAATATGGACCTACGGAGAAATGTTTGTTGTGAAATTGCAGTCAAAACCTGTTTTGGGGCAAAAAACATACATGTCCTTGGTGCCAAAAAGTCCAGAAATCAAGTCTTGACACAATGGAGCTTCATAGGAGCTATCCGGGGTCCTAATGGGATACTCTAAACTTATCCGAGTCCCACGCCGACCCGAGCCGGTCGTAGAGATAAGTTTAGGGATACTCTTCTTATTTTCAAATAAACACGATTACAAGTCGAGACGTGTGAAATGCTAAGACATAAAGAGTAACACAGCCTGAGATACTGAGGCTTGCCCGGGCTCGGCTCGTGGAGGCTTTGAAGGGCTCTCAGATTTACTGTCGTTCATTGGTCAAGCTTTTCGAGAACGACAGTATCATCCTTTAGCTCTTTAGCTCGGATGACCTCGAAGCACCCAAAACCTGATGAACCATTTCTACCGGTGGAAAAGCTATGTAAAGTCAACTTGATAATTACAAAAGTGTACATACATCCTTACCTCCTGACGTCGTGACACATGCAGAGTTCAAAGGTTCTTTCTATCTGCGAGTTTAAAAATCGACTAAGAAAATTGTCAACAATTCTCGGCTCGTGGAATCGAAATGTGTTTGCATAACATCAAATTAGAATCCGCACCGATGTGTCTACCATTGAGTCCTTGGCTCCGGTGTGCAATGTTGAATAAGTTGAATACTAATCTCAGATCTGTATAATTCCGTCCGTGGAAGAGTCAGTAGGGGTGAGCACTGAGCAGGTATCGAAGACTTCCAATATCTACCAACACTTCATTCTTCCCATCCTCTGTCCCCAACGTGAACAGAGAGTATCTTCCTACCTACCAGATTTGCACAAGTTGTCCGCAATGTCTTCGGAAGAGAAGAAAATAGTCGACTTCGTACTCCATCTGCGCTCTGATACAAATCCATATGCAGCGATAGCAAGATACTTGAAGGGAGTGATGGCGGTAAGAAATTCGCAACCTTCAACTGACCTTTCTCGCAAAACTAATGAACATTCTCAAACTTTTCAGCCACCGCAGTTAGCTGGTTGGGCGACCATCGCCCAGCGTTGTGCCTTGGGCTTGTTCATCATGTAAGCTTCATCTTTGCTTTCGGTTGCATTTAATAGCTGAAGTGGGAGGAAATCCTCCCTGCCCTTAACACCATCTCCTCATCGCAGAATGTTTGTACAATCAGTGCATTTGATCTACGCGCGGGTCAAAGTGGGCGCGTTCCAAGCTTGGAATTTTACGCGCCGTAAGTCCTTCAAGTCGCTGTGTCATATCGGTCCTCCCTACAGCAAACTCATAATGCGCCGGCATTGCAGTCGGTCTGTACTCGATCGACGTTGCGAGCGGCTGCGGCACCACATATGCGATATATAGTATCCGTCAGTATCCCTATCTTATGACTGCGCCCTTCCGAACCTCAACGCTTTATAGGTGCGTTGCCCGTACCGAAATACTGATGCAGCAGGTCTCGACACAGTGGCCATAACGGATCTCTTTCTCCTGGATCAAGCAAATGCTGGCGAACGTGACCTATCTGGAGAGATCATGCTATTTGGAATTAAATATATACCGATTCTTTTAAATGGATGGTGAGCTATATACAAACTTTGGAATGATCACATTTTCATTGACTGATCATGAATTTTTTTTGGCTGTCAAAGGTGTACGTCTCAGGACTTCTATTGGAGATGTTGATTTAATGCGTTTTATCGTATTCTTACTGAAATTTTATTCGTCTTTGAAGTCTTCCTGTGGGTATGTGCATGTCAGTGTGCGTCCCTGGTCTGTGAATCCGGTCTAGGCGAGGTTTCCGGCATGGGAGGGAGACTCCATCCAGCAATCCGGGTTGTTATGCATGCTATACTATTGGCAGTACTCATTATTCCAATCCGTCAGTGATTTCTGACGCATAGTTTCGGTTGACACAGCTGATGTCCATAACTTTGTTTATCGTATTCTTTGTTTGATTCCGTAGCTATTGTGTTTTATTGTTACACAAAGGTTAACAAGGAATATGTTATGGCAAAGTCAATATTACACGGCGTCCTTCAAGCGCTTGATGCCAAAGAGGTCACTGCCACTCCTCAAAATTACAATCGCATGGAGCTATTAGCAATACTGAAACCAGCACGAGATATGCAGCCACATGCTGTGAGTTCGAAACTCTTGGTTGGGTAACATTTTTGGTGTTCTGAGTCTCACTTGCTGCTGTCTTTGTAGCACAATATGGCCGTACTGACTCGAAGTGGCATCATGATATATCTAGTGCAGTTGACTACTCTCAGTGTCGTAAGTGAATTTCAGTTAAGGGGGTCATTGGGAGAAAGATACTGATGTTACCCCGACTCGAGTAGGTGTATGTGCCTCTGCTGGCTGTCTCGCTAGGTCGTTTGTATGCCCGATCAGTCTCCCAAAAGAAATTGGATATGGCTGCGTCAGGCGGTGAAGCTAATGGAAAGATTTCAAAGATGGGTCGCAAGATTCGTGAACAGCGTAGAAGGCTGGTGACGCATGCGATGATTCTGTATGTGACAGTCGTTTTGCACGTTCCTATCCTCATTGCTCAGGTACGTCTTCATCATATGCCTACTCCGGGAGTTTGGAAATCTCACTTTCTGACATTGGGCGGGCTGTAGCTGGCCTACGAAGGTGATGGGTTTCTACGAAATCAAGGGTGGCTGACACTCACTCGCGTGGTACGCAATGGATTTTTTCTCAATCTCTGTGTTCACTCTTTTCTCATTATCTATGGATACGAAACAGGGTCTCACCTTACCGTTCGCGATCGGCGGCAACGGGTTAGTACATACGATTACCTTCTAGATTCAACAAACTGATTATATATCGACTCTTGTCAGGATCGCATTCATACTCAATGTCCACGCGCGCAATCAGTTAGCAGATACACAGACGCAGAACCCAGCGGCCACAACTATGACCTCAACCTCCGAGGCCATGAAGACCAAGGAAACTTTCATGCCTAAATTCAATCCTGGTGGCAAAGATGTCGAGCTGTCGCTCCTTCCGACATATGTAGGCCTCAATGGACGCGATGCGCAGTTAAACACTATTGAGACACGCGAAGCCCCGTTTGGAAGTGCTGGAGTACGCTCTCACCCGTCAGTAGTGCCACTGCATGCTTCAAAACCTTCAAGAAAGCAGAGTTCGAAATCGGTTGTGTCGAAGTCAAGTATACATTTCAAACAAAGTTACGATCGGCAAACTGAACAGTCTGGCATAAGTGCAGAAGATTATCCTACCAAATATTAAACCAAACATTCGCCATGAACTATCCGCTTCATGACAACTCATTTTGCATGCTCATGTGCTTCTATGGCCCTAACCACCAGTTCCCGGCACCATTGTTCTTCATGGAAAATCACAGTTTATCAAGCTGCCAGACTTGTATATTTATTACCTCATTAAACAGCTTGAACCTCCGGCTTCGAATGCGTGCAGAGATACAGTTCCTCAACAAAATCAGAACCCCCTCAGCAAGCCGAACTAAGCTGATCTGAATGATTTCAAGTCTCTGCAGTACCAGACATACTTATAATTCCTACTTTCCTTTGTTTTTCACAAGTCGCTCGTTCATATGTTGTATATGTTTTATTTCGAGGCTGATGTTCAAATTTTCTTATAAGTACCAAGTCTAGACCAGTGCGCCTGCTTAAAGATGCGGGCAATTCAAGTTGAAAGAATGTCTAAAATATAACTGTCCCTACTGTAAGGTTCTCAATAGAGAAACCTTCACTGAACTCTTGGGAAATCTCACGGTGGAATCTAACCACTGGAAAGCTATTTTAGAACTCCTGTTTCATTACAAGCACGCTAGTCTAGCTCCAGTCGGGGTTTGTCAGGAAAGAGACAACAATCAGAAAAGGTATAAGATAGAATAGCTATAATGGATGATGACTCTTACCTAGCTCCAGTCGGGGTTCGTGAGGAAAGAGAACCCAACGTGGAGCCAGGGTTGATAGTGAGTATAGTGACAATGACCTCTGTAAACCCATACTGTAATCTATGTAATCCAATCCTTACACCTACCTTGAAATGGTACTCACACCGCGGGAATCATTAAGTGTGAAACCCGATTGAGCAAAGTCGCGGTGTCCGGGTCCGCGACTTTCTTCAATTGTGGATCTTGTTTGCCATAGGTTTGCTATAGGTTTGCTAGCTTGCATCAAGCTGCCCTCAAGTTGTCTGCCTGAGCTGCAGTACATGTTATGCATGTTTTTCCTTTCAATATCCTCAGACCACTCAAGATCATGTATATGTTACAAGAGTCTAGACATATGGTACCTCCATTAGTCCATACTACAGCCTGAGTGGATGACTATGTAGAGGACAGCTTGAGACAAGCTTGCAAACCTATGGCAAACCCATGGCAAACGAGATCCGTGATTGAAGGAAGTCGCGGACGCGGACACCACAACTTTGCTCAATCCGGTTTCACACTTAATGATTCCCGCGGTGTCATAATCTCGAAACTTTCAAAAACTTTCAGACAGCCCTGCCTGAGAAGCACATTTTTTTGTAAAAAAATATAATTTTCGAGGGATGGGGAGGCCAAAGTACAAAAAACTCTAGGCACTTTTGGGCCAACTGGAACTCCCCTAATTAGGATCATTTTGAAATACCACGCATAAAAATCCAAGCCTTTGATATCTAAATAAGGCAATACAAGTCTCAAATTAACTGTCTTTCAGAATTGCAAAGCTGGGGTTGTTGCCCATCATTCATTACCTGAAGTAAAAGACATCAACAGTTTGACAGTAGTATTGCTCATGGGTAGTCTCTTTGATCTCTGCAATTCATCACCTAATGCATCTAGTGCATTTGATTGGACATGTTCTGACAAAGATTTTGATGTATTGAAGGATTATTATGGCCTGCGACCCGCCCCCGGGGATTTCCCCAACCCTGATTTGACTCCAGAAGTTACCAGGGCCAATTAAGGCACACCCCAAATATCTTATTGGTACAAAGGAAGAGGCAGAGTTCAGACAGAGGAGTATGTATTACAAAGAGTATCATACAGAGTCAGCTGTTTGGGGTTAATTAATAGCCCTATCATGAATTGATGATTTATTGTTGCACCTTTTGCATCCACCACCAATAAAGGTGCACCTGGGCTTCACTTCAAGTTCCAGCAAAGATACCTTGGATTTGCAGATCCAAGGTGTTGTTGGAGGTAGATTCCCATAGACCACATTTCCCAGTGAATGATCCCAGGTCTTCTTTGGGCCTGATTCAAAGCCTCAGACCAAATACTGAGGCACCCTGCCCAAGGTTATTTCCATCCAACGACACCTCTTATTGCTGAATTCTTGGCATGTGTCTTGGTGGTTCCGCCATTGGTTTTAGACAGGGCTGTAAGATTGAACTTGAACATGTTATGATGTGAAGTTCCTTGGTGCTCATGTGGAACAGCAATGAGATCATACTGTCGTTCTCGAAAAGCTTGTCCAAGTTTTCCTGCCAAATTGCTGGAGTTTTGCGGGAAAACTCAGACAAGCTTTTTGAGAACAACAGTAAGTATCTGTCAAACATGTTGTCAACCTCTTTCTTGAAGTAAGCAAATGTCCATCTCATGTGTATGATTTGAACCAGGGACAGGAAAGTGTGTAACAAAAGGTACTGTACAGTGTGTAGTACAATGTCTGCTTATTTTATTCCTGCTGTCACATCCACCAGTTTTGGTATTTGTTTCCTCTTTGATGTAGATGCCGAATGATCCTTAACGTGATCCTCTTGATGGTGATGATTTGACTGATTTCAATTTGGGCTTTGATTTCTACCTTTGTTGGTTGACAATCAACATTTGACTGGTAATATGGTATTTTGACCGAATATATGCAAGTGTTTCATGTTCTTCAAAGTTTCAAGTTTGACTCATCTGATTTCAGTGGTTTTTGATAGCCTCACTTTGTTAAATTAATTTGTCCGCTTTCTGACTTGCTACTAATTATCTTCGTATGGAGGCAGTATCTCACTCACTCACAGCGTGCGGCTGTATGTTTTGTGCTGGTGTCAGCGTTGCCAATAAGGGCATATGGCTATAATTCTGACAAGTGGCAGTGTCTGTTTTTGAACAAAGTTCATGAAGAACACTATGACAACTGTTCAGTTACAAAAACTTATTGATCATAGCAAACAAACCTATTTCCTCCAGAGTGGCCGGACAAGTGCGCGCTCGGCATTGCATGGTGCGGATCGGATCCAGATGAGCCACTTCAGAGCTTTGAGCTTTGGATGATCCCGGCAGCTTGGTCTCTAGTGTATAGGAATATGTTTTGTTTTAAAAATGTGACAAGAAGCTATATGTCTTGTTGACTTCAGTATTGGGTTTGAAATCCTCAAACAAACCTCAATCCAATAATTATATGGAAGATAGTATTTACAAAAGACGAGTATTTGGAACATAAGTGCGAAGTTACAAGACGAATTGATGAGCTTGAGGAATGATTTGTCCATGAAGAAATCTAAGCTTGATGAGCTTGATATCTGAGCCAAAGTCCAGAGACTGAACCTAAACTACTTTCTCTTCTCAATTCATGATTAGATTCTGGTAAGATGCTAAGAGAGTGTGATCTACCAGATCGTAATGAGATTGAATCAGATGAAGAGTCGGATGGTCGAGATTCCGATGATGGATCAGAGTGTTGAGCTCCCGATGTTGACCCAGAATGGGTGAAGGTGATACGGCTTTTGAAAAACATGCAGATCAGTGAATTTGGTCAATGAATGGAACGATAAATTCGCTCAAGAGAACAAGCATACCTTTCCATTTCGTCAAACCATACTATCGTGCGCTTACGTGGCACTGCGTGATTGGCCGACATAGGGGCAGAGGCAGAACGAAGTCGAGGAGGAGTTTTTAGCTGAGGATTTGAAGATAAAGGGCTTTTCACAATTGTAAAACTTTGTCCAACAGGTAACAATCGAAGTGGACGAGATATAAGAGGAGTTGGAAGTGCAGCTGCTTCCAAGTCCGATTTTATCGAATCTGTTGATTTTCGATTTGGTCGCTTTTTTCGTCTCCATCCTTGAAAAATATAACGTTGTCCATATTGTAGCAAGGACGAAAACGATAACTACGATACTGACCGCAAAGATGTCCGCGGAACTTAAACTCCCGACCATTCACTTCAGCCCGCGTCCCTCTGTTACCAGTCTTCTCAATGACAGCAGGAAAATCCCTGATATCAAGAAGGATCCTCCCAGTCAGTCTGAAGTTTGAATCCTGGTATATCTTTCTTCCTAGATATTCCTTAATCTTTTCTCTTTGATGATGTACGATTTTGCTGATGCGATTTGATGGGCGTCTATAACTTTTGAGTGACTGATTGGGAATCATACAAATCGAGGCAATTGCCGTATAATTGTTGGAAAATCTTCAAGATCGAATGAAGTCGAGAAGGGCGATTGAAGCAAGAAAGATGATGCAAACTTTCCACCTCCAGCAAGCAGATTGAGGATGACAAAGGTCGTTTTGACTGAAATAAATTCACAAGAATACGAAATAAGTGGGTCGAAGATAAGCACAAACAAAGCCGTGAAAGGAGTACTTCGCTTTTTGATGTCGACCAGTTTTGTGAGAGCCCCTTCAGGTGGAACGAAGACTGAGCGCAAGGAGCGTAAGTTGATATAAACAGCCGGGAAAGTGTACTTCGGCGCAGTCGCAGTCAGGTTCGGACTGGTTGTATAAGAAAATGGAAGGATGAGCGAGGGCGACAAAGGAATTTGTCGCTGGATTTATGTTGACCTGCGGATCACAATCGAAACTGTGGTATCGGCGAGGGAGGCAAAGATATTCACGGACTTCGCTGAGATCCATCAACTTCACCAACAGCCGGGGAAGTTCATTCAAAGGGGAGGTTTACTGATTTCCTAACCCGCGCAACCAGTTTGTCTGAGGACCCTGGGATAGGCCAACCCAAGTGATAAAGTGTTGTCGAGAGACAATGACTGAGTTGGCCTTCTTTGAGACACAGGCCTAAAGATTGAGTTCGTTGAGTATGATCGACTTTGAATGAAAATTGAATGACCCATGTCCGTAGATCCTCATCCTACACCGGATACCGATTCATACTAAATTCTGGAGCCATGGTTCGTTGGAGACGAATCCACTTGCATATCTTTCGGCTACTCATAGAGGCGAACAGCTTCTGTAAATCCACATCACGATACTTCCAGTGTACCAGTTGTATCATGAAGTGACGACAAAAGTCTCACATTTTTCTGTCTAAAAGCATCTCATCAGGATCGGATCCAGAGTCCAAGTATACAAGGCGGAAAAGGGCTCTTCAAAAAGTGAGAAGTTTGTGATCATATTGGCTTCTTTCTGTTTGCTGGCAATTCTTCGGTTCACACAGAAAAGTAGGGTATTTCAGCCGACACGATATCATTGGAAACTTGGTGACATACCTTTGAGTCTATCAGACATACAAGATCCATCAGAACCCCTGTCATTTTGGAAGGTGTTCGAAATATCTTCCAAGATCCGAAACCTCTCTGAGCGCCCTTCATCTCGTACATATCAGACCAAAGCACAATTTTACAACTTTTCTTCGGCCAAGTGTAAAATACTCAGTGAGATCTTCTAAACCTCAGTTCGAATTCAAGCCAAGTCCTCAAATGAAGGGGTACAAGGACTCACAGTATTCAACTTTCCAACTAGTCACTTTCAATTTGTGGAACAAAGGCCTTCAGGGCTTCGGTGCGTACGTCAGGCGGACAGCTCAGCTTTAAGGAATAGGCCTACTAACTTTGCCATTGTTTTGATTGTCACATAGACACACTTTACCATCAAAAATTGATGATGCGAGGGTGGGATGCGGGAGAGGATGCGGGAGAGGATGCGGGGTTCATGCTGATAATGAAGTCCAGATTTTTACATGGATGAGCCACCTGCACCTACCTTTTGAAGTTTCTTCTACAAAACAGTTCAAGTGCATGAATTGCAGTGAAAGAGTGATTTCAAAGGATGTGATTTCCCAGTAAATGAGAGATTAAATATAATCTCTTCAGCTCAAGGTAGCCGAACCAAGACATCAAGATCCAAAAAATCATTAAGCTCCTAAAAATTATTGAAAGATATACAAAATGACTCGAAAAAAAACAAGATCAAAAAATCCTTGAACAACGATCAAGACAAATAAAATCAAGTTTCAACTACATAAATACTCCTAACGAAAAATAATTATAAACGTTCACTTCAAAATTTCCATCTTTTATATAAAAGCAAAAACAAAGGACTTCAACTATATAAGATCAAGAAGTTACATACATACAATCAAAATAATTAATCACAACAAGTCAACAAAAAAAACCAATACGAGTCCTTTTTTCCAAGCCGTTCCACAAAAAATGTAAAAAAAAGAAAAAAAACTTCAAAAAGGTTTTTCTAAATAAATTATATACACAAATCATTCGTCTTCAAAAATCAAATGAGTAGTAATCTCATTCAAAACAGCATGAGTTTTCCTAATATTCCGTAACCTAGGTGAAAGTTTTTCAATAGGAGAACTAGGAGGTCTAATCCTTGAAACTTTACAAGGAGTTAAATGATTATTAAACGAAAGATTGGTAGTGGTGGTGGTAGAAGAAGAAGAAGAAGCAATCAATGAAGCATGAGTAAATTGATCACCACTTTCAAGTGAATAGATCCATTTCTTAGCTTCAACTAAATTAAGAAATTCATTCAAGATTTCAGATGATTTAAGTGTCTTGAATGAACCTAAGATAATTAATTTCTCTCGAGATCTCGTCAAACAAACATTTATCCTTCTCCAATCTTTTAATAATTCTCCTACACTTCCATGTTCATTATTCCGTACCATGGTCATGATGATACATGATTTATCTCTTCCTTGTGATTTATCTGCTGTGATGATTTCTACCGATGGTGCGTGTTCAAGTAAATAATTTAATAATTTGATTTGCTGTCGATAAGGTGTAATCACACCAATTTCAGAAGCAGGAACGCCACCCCTTAGCAATGCATTGACAATCTATTAGAAGCATAAAAAATTAATCAATATTCCCATTCACTCAAAATATCAAAATCAATCAAATTTCAAGAAAAGAAAAAACTCAACTTGAACCACTAATTGAGCTTCAACTTTGTTTTGTACTAAACTACCAGTAATAGATTCTTGTGCATCAATTTTATCAGTATCAACAAACACAACTTTCCTTTCATCTGAAAGTATATCTTTTAACCAACATCTTCTCAAACAATTTGGTTCTTTATCAGAAGAATTAGAATGATAGAAATCTAAATTAATTCCATTGGGTATTCTAAGTGTCAAATTCGAAATTTCTTCATTTCCACATTTCAATTGCCCATTATAAATTAAAGAATTACTTAGACTCATGATCTCTTCATTCATTCTATATTGTCTTGTTAATGAAACCATTGAAGCAGGATGTTCTTCAGATAATAATTTGAATAATGAAATTTCTAATCCTTTTGACTTTGCTATTGGATTCTTAACTAATGGTGGTAATTGAAAATGATCTCCTACAAGTATAAAGACTTCTGCATACCTTAATGGTCCTAAACAAGTAGGTAAAGTGATTTGTGATGCCTCATCTACAATACAATAATCAAATTTCCTACGTTTGAAGATCGGATGATTGATAGAAAGACAAGTAGTGGCTACTAATTGTGGTGTCATTAACCTTGCTTCTAAGGCTTCAACACTCCTCATCGGTTCACTCTCGTCTAATGTATAAGGATGTAGTGCAGGTGAAATCTTGTCCACATTTCCCAATCGTAGCATATCGATATCCGACTTGATCAATTTAGCCAAGATATTATCAACAGCCGAATGAGTGTAAGAGGTCAAAAGAATAGTTTTGCCCTCTTGAATCAATACCTTGATCACCTCGGCTATAGTAGTAGTCTTTCCAGTTCCAGGCATTCCAAGTATTAAAGCATAATCCTTGGCAGACATCACTTTACAAATAGCATCACGTTGATCTTCATTTAAATGAGCAAATCGAGGATCGGTACCAAAGATATCCGGCGTGGGTTCAAAGACCGGAGCTCTGAGATCTACTACCAATTCACGACGTTTATAATCTCCATGAGTATAAAACAATTGAGCAATATTATCACGTATTCGTCCCATTCCTGCCATAAGTTCATCTTTATCAATTCGATAGAATATCTTCGGTTTCTGATCATCCTGTTTGTATGATTTAGGTATCATACTGCCAATCGAGACAGGTCCAATGTTCTCTACTCGATGATCTAATCCTATCACAATACGGTATGGAGATAAATCGCAGATGAACCCCTTCGCTATAGCCAGTTTTTCACCCTCGATAGAGATGACCACCGGATCACCAACGCTCATTTGACCAGACAATAATGATTGAGTAGGAACGACCTGAGATAAAGAAGCTCGACTCTTTTTAGGCGACTGACTCGAAACACTCGAAGTAGAAGACATAAAACAATAAGTATAACGATGTATCGTATTACCCCGCTTAGTAGTCTTCAACCATCTTATATCATCAAACGATTCATCAATTTCCATATTAGCAAACGCTCTACCTTTAGCTTGACGTTTATCTGCAGTGAGTTCCCAGATTTCTTTTTTGAATTTACCTAATTCTCTTTCTTCAAGTGAGATAAGTGATTCCCATTTAGTAAAGAATGTAGAATGATTTGGCGTGATATGTTCAGTTTTGTCTCGATAGATTGACTGAAGTGCTTCTAATCCTCTTCTAGATGGAATCTCATCTTCACCTTCAATTGTCTAAAGCAAAAGAAGAGGTCAGCAAGAAGTCGCGATTGATTTTGAAGGAAATGGACTCTTACTTTCCGATATAGCATACAACTATCCACTGCATAACATCGAGAGCAGGTTTGGGCGTCGTCGATAGGTTCCGGTAGCAAAGTGCGCTCTATATCCAATGCGGGTAGGTCACCATCAAAGTGTGGGCTCGACGGCATTTCATCATTTCCTGAGCTCTGAGTTGGAGGGAGCATAACGTCCTCAGGATCGATGGCTCGCTTGTGAATGTAACTAGCTAGGTGATTTCTCGCAATGATAAGCTGTCGAAGTTCAGCTTTAACGGCTCGGACCCGTGTGATTTCGTTGATAGATGTATAAAACAGTAATCCAGCCGGAACATTCTGATCTAAGATAAATGAAGAGAAGTCAATCAAACGAAATAAACCGATATATACTTGATACATACGTACTATAACGATCACTCATCAATAAAGTATATAACATAGTCTGAGCAGTATGTTCCACCCCATTAGGTTTCCTACCGGTTTTGATCTCTAATGGAAATACATTACATTCTTGTGTAAACAGTTCCTTGTTAAAGAAAAATCCAACTTTCTTTGGTTCTTCAATAATCGCTGCTTCGACTGTTGCATCAATCTTACCTTTCAATCCATATTTAGGTGACCAAATCTCTTCTTCTATATCATGAATAGCTGTAAGTGAAATCTTGGGTCGCGCTTCATCTTGCCTTACATTACTTCTTGGATCAAATAAATGTGCATCTTTCTAATTTCAAACAAAAAGTAAGTTTACAAATCAAAATCAAAATCAAAAAATTAGTTAACACATCAAACTTAAAGATTAAGATTCTTAAGAGAAATATGAAGCACACTTGCAACTTGAAATTCTTTCCTTGATTGTTTTGAAGAATATATTTCTTGGACCAACTAGGCAATTCTTTTAAATGTTCTGAAACCATACTAAACCCTTGATCCACGGTTTGATTAATCATCAATAAATCACCCACGTGTCTCACACAAGCTTTCCTAGCTTCTTTCAAAATCTTAGTCATTGGCCAAAGTGCTTGCGGGTGAGTAGAAGTTTGTTGATACCCATCTTCTGATATCATGTCTTCAGTAGGTAATAACAAGCTTTGAATAACTTCATGAACAATAGTACCTCTAATCACCGCTTCACCGATATCATTATGACTACTCTTGATCCTATCATTCAACACGCCTCGTCTAGGACACGAAGGAGCGGTCGAAACTGCCGTAGTGTTGATCAAAAGTGAAGGGATAAGGATAACCAGATGTCCAGGTTCAGATCTAGAGAAAGTAATCAATTCTTGATCAAGTTGGATCGGTGGTGAATCAGGTAATGAAACTAAATTTAATTCATCATTCAATTCAACTAAACTTTCAGCCCAATCATCACAAAGTAACAATCTTCTAATTTCATCATGATATTTCGATGAGTTGATCGTCACTTCAATCGTTCTTTCCATACGTTTGTTCAAATTATTCCATTCTGGCGGTGTTATAATCTGTGATATAATACATTTCGTATATTGTCGACAAAGAGGTAGCTTGTGATTTAGGTTGGGTATTTCATTTTCATCTTCTACAAAATCATCCCAGCCATCTTCAAGATCCATAAAAAGCGCGTCATAATCTTCATGATGAACAGCTACATGAGTTGTGGAATCCTTCAAAGGACTAGCTTTTCCTGGGCTGAGTTTGGCGAGTGATTTGGCGAGTTTCGGGGTTGATAGAGGGGATGATGATACGCCACGAGTGCCAGTTCGATGGACAGAATCTTTTTTGAAAGTGTCACGCTGAGTGGCTTGACAATATGATGAGTCTTTTGAGAGATCTGATGCCTTCTGACGCGAGATTTTCGAGGCAGTACTTCTTGTCGGGTCGATTGATTGAACATCATCATAATTGTTATTACATCGCATTAAACTTCCTTGTCTTTTTACATTGAAAGCTTGTAAACTCCGTTTAGGAGAGATCGATTTATCCAACTTTTCTGGTATCGATAGATCCTTTGGATCATTTTGAGAAGAGTAAAGGTTTTTCATATTCCTAGTTTCAGATAAACGGATTGTTTTAGATTGTGAGAGTTTCTTTGATTCGATTGGTGAAGAAGGAATAAGATCAGAAGGACTAAGTCCTTCTAATAAATCTTCCATGAAAGTATCTTGTTGACTTTTTGGTGGTAGTGTTCCCGGTCTGTTCATGATTCGTGACTGAGATTCCGATTGAGATTTGAAAGAAAGAGCGTATATATAGAAGATAATATGAAGGGTCTTTCGCAATGTTAAAGGGAATTATTGTGAATCTGAGATCAAAGGCGATGGGGGAATTTGTTGAGCAAGTCTTTTGAAATTTTCAGTCAACATTTCATCAACACTGCATTACATATTGACATGTTGAATTTATGTAACTTTACAAGTTACAAGTTACAACGCGCTTGATCTCACTTTCGCGTGGGCGCGCTCTTGTTTGAAGGGTCGCGCCCGAGCGCAGAAGAGGCTCAGTCTGAGGGGTCAAGCTCCACTGAGGCGCGTTAGGCGCGCCCCTCACTACAAAAAAGCAGAAAAAATCTAACACAAATCTTCAATGGCGGTGCAAAGTGCAAGTTTGCCAGTATAGCACACCAGTCATCAGGCGCAAGGGAAAGACAAGACACTGTCAAATCACAACTCAGCACAAAGAAAACCCAATGGATATCATTCCACTAAGATTGCTCAATTGTTTCTAAAATGCAGTATGTATGTATGTACACTGCAAAACTCCTTTCCGGGGATTTGTGATCGAGATGCAAACTTAACTTGAAGTAGATCTACCTCTGACTTGTAAAGAACTTCACAAAGCTGTTGAAGTGGTGATGAATCATGGTCATACAATCAAATCATTCTTATCTCAGTCTACCTTCAGTGTTGAGTTATTGAATGTGGTATTAGTCATATGCATTCTTTCACACACACTACCTTGACTTTGATTTCAATATCAAACTCTAAAAGCAGCCTCAAACTGGCCAATTGCACTGTTCAACTTTGGTCCTCAAAGTGGTCAGTCACCACTTCAAAGAAACTTTTTATTTTGTACACTTTATATAACATTGGCATAAGCCGTGGCCCACATCCAGGTAAGTTTTTTGTTTATGTTTTTATTTATTTCATGAGTTGATTATTCCATCTTCCAATTATCTAGACCTACTTGAGTATGTCTTGTTTGGCTAATGGTGGATGGACACCTAAAGGAAATTGCATGGAATTCATTGGTGTCATGGATCAGACATCAGGTGTGAAATCATAAGTTACTGATGGATCAGAAGACAGAAAATCATCAACAATGAAGCATTCATAGCAACCCAAATTGCTGGGTAGATTTTCCTTCACATATCAGAAGTCACCTCAGGCTCCAATCCCGCTTCCAGGAAAAATCTTACACATAAAGAAGCCCAGACCCATATGAATCCTGAACAGAGACCAACAAAGATGGAGTAAGAACATGATAATGTGCATTGATAGATTACATAGCACCCTTCAATGAGATTCTTGTAACATACAACTTCTGATAAAGATACCCACCAAAACCAATTCAAATATGAAATCATTTCACATTTTGTTGATATCTCACCTTGCATTGCCAACAATCAGTAGATATTTACAGCCAAATATGATGATTTCTCCAGAAAACAAATGACTTCTTTTTTCCCTAATCAAGTAACACAACTTTTCCTCCTCAAGAGACATGTTCTTTCAAAGCTTATTCTCACACCCATAATTTTTTTGATCAAAGTCTAAACCAGATTATCAAGAAATATTTCCTGAAAATGAACTTTATATTGGAATCAACAAAAAGATTTGAAGAACTTTTCAAGATATTTTCGTGGTCATATATTATTGGAAAACCCAATTTCAAAACCCATCAACTTCTTTCTGATCATACTCAACAAGAATTCATCTCATTACAAAACTTCAATTTCTTCAACTATCAATCAAAATACCAACTTCAATCCAATCCATTTTTTTCAAACACTCAATACACCTCCCTCACATTTTCTCAAACTCCAAACCAAACCAAACCACAACCAAAAAAAACCGCGACTAAACACTCAAAAATAATCCGAATTTCTCACAAACAAATACCTATAAGTTTCCAAAAGATTCATCATCCCCCCAGGCATGACAAACGACCAAAAATTCCACTGATCTGGATGAGCATAAACCTTATCGATCAATCTAAACCGATCCACATACTGTCTTCTATAAGGTGTTGCAGTAATTAAAGAAAACATCAAGACCCAAAGTTTACCTCCTCCTAAAAACTTTGGAATCCATGGGATCACATATCTTTCCATGATGATGCCGATTGGTTGGAGTAAGAAATAGATTAGAGATGAGGGGAATTCTTGGGTGTAGATGTGGGATGATGGATGCGGTGGTCTAGCAACCGAATGAATAGCTTTTTAATTTTATCCAAAAACATTCCATAAATAATCATAAAATCAGTTCAGAAGGATCCAAAAAAAATCCAGACAGATCAAGAAAGTGTTTTTCCAATAATGCTTACCAAACTCATGTAAAACGCCTACCAAAAAGAACGAAGCAAACAACCCGACGATCCTCTGAACCTGTTTCCCAAACCCGATCTTTCTGACAAGTTGACTAGCCGGAATCCCAGCACAAACCAATGCAGGTCTTCTAAGTAACTGATGCCAAGCTTTACCCCAAAAGATTTCCAATGAATCTGATTCTAATGGTCTACCAAACAAAGGCGTACAGAACTTTGGATCAAAGAACACCAAAACCCAACCTGGCAGTCTTACCAGACCCGTTGAATGGAGTTGGTGTATTGATAAACAAAGTAATGTGAACATTGACCAAGCTACATCTAATGAAGTAGCAAACCAAGTTCCAAAACAAAACGTATAAACCAATTCTGATATTCCATTTGTGAACCAATTAACTGGAAACCCAATCAAATTAAATAAATTGATAGTCTTTTTTGAGTTTTTGGAGATGATTAGGAAGCCTAAGACGATCACTTGTAGTGAGTTTAATAAAATTGTTCGGATTAAGATTTCTTTAAATTTAGGTGCTTCTAGTTTCTTTTTAGGTCCCCATCCATATTGTAAACCTCGAATTCTTTTATAAAACCAATAAAAATCATTCAAGTAAGTTATATATTTCGTTTCTTAAGGGTGAAGAGTTTTGGTTTGAGGCGATTTATGAAGACACTTACGAAAAAGATTGCATAACAGTCCAACCAAAGATTTCTGACCAACTAGCATTCCCATTCGCAACCTCCAAATTCTTCATTACCTCCTTATCCTTATCCTTAACCTGATCCTTTTCCTTTTCCTGATCCTTATTTTCAACAGATTTCTCAGAACCACCCAACCCACGCCCATCCATCTCCACCCGTTCCCAATACATCCCCGTCCAAAACCCACCCAAAAGTCCCCACTCCAAAGACTTACAAACCAAATAAACCGACAAGATCCCCAACACAAAGTTACCCAACCCCGTAAACTCCAACGGTTTAAAACAAAAATCAATTGATAAACTTAATGAAAGGATCACATTTAAAGGAGTTAATAAAACTCGTAAGTTAGAAAGAACCAATGAGTTTGAAAAGGATGGGTGTAGGAGTGAACATTGGATAAAGATGGGGAGGGTGTATAGGAACGTCTTGTAGGATGGTTGGGTACAGTGGGTTGGTTCGGTTGGGTTTGAAAAGGTGTTGATGATCGAACTTAACATTATCTTTTTTGGTTGAGTAGGATTTGATGGTAGTAGGATATCTTGGTCTTTTGGACTTACGTTTCTTTTCTTCTTCTTGATCGTTTCATATTCTTTATATAATCTTCAACTTATCAACATACCTCCTAAAGCCTTTCTTTTTTATAACAAGACATTAACATGATTAGACAAGATCCCATCCGATTCCATGCTAGGGTTTATTCATAGGAGATCCTCTTCCACATGATCCGTCACCATCTTTTCTCAGTATCTTAGGGTTTGCACCTTTGACCAAACTGATGATGTTTTTAAACCTGATTGAAATTTCAAACTCTAGGAGTTTTACATATAACACCTTTACTTACAAACATAATATGGGAATCAATGAAGTGGGTTCTTCGATTCCGATGCATGTTCATGGTTCCATAGTACTTAAGTTAGAGCTCAATGAAAACGTCTTGATGATGTGGACTCTTGACTCCTACTCTTCCCCAATCCTTTCAAACCCCGCACTTGAAGAGTTTTGTGATGATTGTAAGGTATGAAGTGATTAGAGAATCTGATCAGATTCAATAGATTTCGATCATTAAAAGGTCAAGAGGAAATCTGTTTGAATGCTTGGATGATGTGATGAGTTGATGAAACGCTGCGGGGAACAAGAAAGTGATGCTAAGAAGTTCTATGTAGATTAAAGATAGATAGATGATGGTTTTGATTGATCGGTCTTGTGAAGTGAGTGATTGACACTGTGAAAATAATGTGTTTCTCCCTAGTGAAAAATGATTGCATTTTTGGAAAAATGATTGACAAAAAATTGTACCTGGAATTGTGGGCCCAGTTGTGGCCCAAAACGCTTGGAAAAAGATCTGGAGAGAGATACAACACTCTTTGTCCTGCAACGTATTTTTGGTGTTGCTCAAAGCGTCATACTCAGCATGAACCCAGCAAGCAATTTTCAATGTTTTTACCAGCTTTTTCCCTCTCAAAGAAGTCCAAAAAATCCGGAAAAATCAGGAGAGATCAGAAATCCCCTTTGTGATGTGTGGTGTTTTTTTCGGATTTTTTGATGCCTTTGTCTTGGATACATGCAGGTTAGAACATTAAAATTCTGCCAAGTAAAGTTCAAATGCATTTTGGTTCACAGGGGCATCAAAATTCCACACACTGTCTTCAAACCATGTACAGATGATCTTGCATCCTTTGTTGTGCTGTAAAATTTTTTTTGGGTGGTTTTGGAGCCTTGTACATATGGCAGTAGCGTTTAAGTACCTAAAATTACACACATGTGATGACTTGTATACTGAGCCAGAAAAATTCTGAAAAAAACGTTCAACAAAGGGGATATTGTCCTCCACTTGTAATTTTTTTTTCAGATTTTTCTTGTCACTATTGAAGGGTGAATTTAGTGCTTTGGTGCTGCATATTTATGTGTTGATCCACAAAATTTTTGAACATCACCAAACTGAGTGCTAGAATTTTTTTACAATGACCAAAATCTCCCAACTGGAAGAAAATAGCACATTTTGCCTTACCAGATTTTTTCAGATTTTTTGGGCCAATATCAAGCAAGGCATTTTAAATACCAGAATCAATCATTTTTCGCCATGGAAAAACACATTATTTTTGCAGTGTGAGTAGATAGAATTCTAGCTTAGGTTATCTGATATCATCAAGAACTGTTTAATAGTGAGGAGGTGAATACAAGTTAAGATTTAATGATAAAGATGAGTTCGATGATGATGATAATGAAGTTTGAGTATTAGTTGACGGTGGAAAGTTGAGATGATGATGGTTGTTGTTTGTTGAAGTGAATGAGACTGGTTTGAAGCTTGATTGATTTGAAGTTGAGATTGGTAAACAGCAAACTTGGAAATCGAAAAAGTCTGATAAACTGTTCTGATGCTGTGAAATGAAATCGATCAGTTAAAGAATCTGATGGAAATCCAAATTCAAGCTTTAAGGCTGGGTTCATGTACTCAAGCTCTCAGTTTAGGAGTCAAAGACGTTCAAGTCTATATCTAATTCCTTGGAAAACATGACCTCAGATATAGATCGACTCTTTGAGGGATTTAAGTGAGTTAACACCTTGTTGGATTCAAGATTGCTCATAGGAAGACTAGACAAAAACATGTGAGGTTGAAGAGTTCCATTGATTCAAAACAATCAGAGTAGCAAAACTTTTGAAGAGAAACTACCAGAGTTGAGAGAATGTTATCATAGGATCACTTGGTTTACAAATCAGTTGGCGTACAAAAAATAAACTGGTGCAATGATGGCTATGAGAAGCAGAAAGCAAGCTGACTTCAAACGTTGATCAGGAGAATGCGTAGGAGACTTCTGGAGGAAAGGTATTGTTGCATGTTATGATAAGGTCTGCGTGTACCTCCACATATACCCTCCTGAACTTGCCACATACAAACATTGATTGCATTGACATCTGCCAGATCAGCAACAACCGTGTGATCGGGAGGGTGGTGGACATTGCGAGCAGGTTGGGGCTTTAGTAATAGGATTGGGTTTATCACCACCCAGATTTCGTCGTTGTAGGACTTCGCGAGTTACACTGAGATCAAACAAGTTATGCGTTAGAAAAAGTTTCTGAGAGCGGTTGAGCTTGTAGCCACGCAGAAAAAGATAGCAAGCCTTTGCTCACGTTTGGTCAACTTGGACAGGGCTGGCGGAGATTGTGGCTGTAAGAATCAATAGAGGATTGAGTAAGATTGAGTACGAATGGAGATATGGATTAGTGTGTATGAATTCACTGACCTGCTAGAACAGCAGCAATGATGATTTTGAAGAAAAGCATGGCAACTCCTTGATTGTTGAGAAATGAGACGGGTTTGATGGGATATTTCAAGATGTAAGGTGTGGACAAGACTGATCAGTTTTGGTGTGAGAGGGAATGAAGGTCATGTCGAAGGGGCTCTTATAAGTTATCACTGGGAGGAAAGTTCTGTCACTTCAAGAGTGCCTATCACAGAAGTTGAGTGACTTTTTTCACATCGTTGATGTGTGAGTTTAAACTTTAAAGCACACACGCCCTCGAGTCTAAACTCATCAGAGTTCCACGTTGTCGCTCACGACCCAAGCCCCAGCGACGAGAGCATGACAAGATCAGTGGAACTGGCGAGCATACAGCTGTTTCAACAAAGATCGATTTTTTTCAGAGGTCGCAGCCACTGGGAGAGCCGTGACTGTCAGGCTCTGAGAGCATCCCCAGCCGCACGCCATAAACCGTGACGTACGGATATTTGAGGTAGTTTCGTGCACAGCCGTCTACCTCAAACACTCACTTAGCTTAGGTAGTTCTCTCCGTGCGAGCCCAAATAGGCCAAAGATGTTCTATCTTGGCTCGCACCACAAACCAATCCGTACCTTCCTTTTACCATGATTTCAAAACCACAGTGCACAAGTTCCCCCAACTACAGTTTCATCCTTCAGCGCGTCTTCTTGCTTCAAACACGTCTTTTTTGATCACACACATTTCTTTTCAACCACCATTCTCATCATCTCGTCATGGATCCAATTCTGGATCCCTCTCTCACATCTTCGGTTCCAAACACCTCCATTCAATCTCCCTTGGAACTCAACACAACTCACCAGACAGACATTGAATTAGTCCATTCCAAAAAGCGCAAAAGTCAACCTGAAGAGAAGAGTACAAAAAAAAGAGGCAAGAATTTCACTCATTCGGAGGATGAGCAGCTTTGCCATTCGTACATAAGCATATCCACTGATTGCATCATCGGAAAGAGCCAGAAGATACTTCGACTGTGGCAACGCATCGAGGAGCATTACAAGAATAATAAGGTTCCTCAACCCTCCGATTCGCCTCGTGACAGTACTACACTTCAAAAGCGATGGAGCCACATTTCAACACAAGTCACCAAGTTTGTGAATCACCATTCAGTTGCAGTACACAATTTACGCAGTGGAAAACTTGTAGGTGCCGGTGATGCAGTAAGTTTCTCCTCATTTGAAGATCCCATGTGAACAGATACAAACTTTATCTGATTTCAATTGAACTCCTTTTGCGTCCATATGTAGATAATGGATGCAAAGGAAACGTTCTTGGCCGAAACCGGAGAGAATTTTACCCTTGAACACTGCTGGGTGATTCTCCGAGACACAAAGAAGTTTCAAGACACATCCGAAAATACACTTGCACCGTTCCCATCTAGTCCAACATCATCCAAAATTTCAAACACCATGTCTGCAACACCTTCGAACACCTCACAAGTTCCCAAACGACCTTCAGGCACCAAAACTGCTAAAAAAGAAGCAGCGTCTTCCAAAACTCAGGAAGAATTAGATAGAGCAGTTCTCCAAGCTTCGGAAAAGCTTGCAGATGCAGTGGCGGAGAAAGGTATCGCGATTCATGATTTATCTGAATCTCGGATCATGATGGAAGATCCAGAGAAGATGAGTGGACATCGTCGCGAATGGTATCAAATGAAACAAGAAGAGATTATGGGAAGATATAAAAAGGTCAAAACCAATCATCAAACAAAATCCGAGTAAGTAATTCCTCTCATGATCTTCTCTCTCTGCTGCTACACATGTTCATTTGATTCTTCTGATCAAGAACCAGTCAGACCGATGGTGATTTACAAACGGATCTCGATTTACAAACCGAAAGCGAGTCCCAAACAAAGTGAGGTTTTCCATCGCTTTGATTGTACAGTACCATGCTGATGGTTTATGCTTTCAATTAGCCAAACCGATGGCCATTGGGACAAAGAGTGAGAGTAAAGAACTCTTTCCAACCTCAGTTCACTATGTTTAAATCTTACAAAACGTTTCGATCAAATTACATCATGCTCGGTAGATGATCAATATTAAATCCAATTATCCAACGTTGTAAAAGTGCTTGTGTTATCCACATTTCTTGAATTGATTTTCCTTTTTATTTTGAAATCTAAGATGTTGTCAATCCGTGTGCTATTCAAAAGTCATGAAATCATACCATTTCAATGCTTTTCGATTTTATTTTTCAACTTGATAGTATTAAAAAAATCAATTTTCAATGCTTTTCAATTTTATTTTTCAACATGATAGTATTAAAAAAATCAATCGATTTGGAGAATCCCAAAACGATGAGATCTTCCTCAATGGCCAGTCCCGATTCTTTTCAAAAAGAATTGAAGGGACTCTAACATATGATTAACCTATCAATTTCGCTTACTTGGTATGAATAGAAAAACAAAACAAAACCATTCTTTAAAATACATAGATTGTAATCAAAAAAAAAGAAACAACTACGTAATCACGAGTTCACATGTTTCCAAACAAGCAGCCTAGACAATCAATGAGGAAGTTTAAAAAGAGACTAGTTAATCTGCTCCAGATTGGGGAGCTTTCTTTTCTGCTGCTCCTTTCGCATTCCAGAGATGTTGCACCAAGTCGGCTTTGAGCTGATGATGTGCTTTCTTATCGCGCATGTTCTTAAACTTTGCTAAATACCCAGCGCGATTGTTTGTCCAAGCTGTACTGCTTTCAGGCGGACGGACTACAAAGTGATGTTCTTGAGTTAGGTAAGGGTTGGGTTCTTGAGTGTTTCTATTATCTTCAATATTCATGTTATGTAATATAATACAACACAACACAATAGCCTCGAGATCAGAGTCCGACCACAGCCGCGCACCGTTACGCAAAATATGCCATTTGCCCTGTAACACTCCGAATGCTCGTTCGATGTCTTTACGTAGAGCTTCTTGGACTTTTGCAAAATGCTGTTCATGTCGAGTGGAAAGAGTAAAAAAGATTAATACTTGAAGACTAGAGGATGAAAAAAAAAACCAAAAACTTACCCGCTTCATGGGAGTGTCAGGAGATGATATAGTTTGGATGAGAGTGGTATATTCCGGGTAGATTCCATCAGACAAGTAATACCCAGTGCTGTACTCGGTATCATTAACAGTGAATTTGACCGCGGGTTGTTTTCCATTGAGGTGATCGAGCAAGTACGCTGAGATCGTTGAGAGTACCCGGTAATCCAAAGTAGGCATGCCAAATCCATAAGTCATGCGATGCCACCGCCTCGAGCACCAAGGTTGGAGCCTTCTCCTTTCCACAATATTGACCGTGCCATGCTGTTGGGCAGTTTTTCCATTCCCAATGCATACAATCCAAACTACCTAACATACCCGGCATACCTCGTTCCTCTGCTACAGCCAGAAGTTGCTTGAGGTCGTTTTCGGTGGGTTTTCGGAGATATTCAGGGCCAAATACTTCTACAATAGTATGACAGAAATGTTTGAGGCATTCGATTGCTGTAGATTCACCCATCTGCAGGTAGTCGTCAAACAGATCAGGCGTTGTTCCATAAGAGAGCTGACGTATCGCGGCCGTGCACTTGTGTCGTGAAGAAAATCCCAAATTGCCCACAGCATCCTCCTTCTGCTCAAAGTAGCGATTCGAAGTTTCTAAAGTATCACATATGCGAAAGAAGAGAGGGCGGCTCATGCGAAAACGACGTCAAAAGCGATGAAGTGGGTATTGGGGAGAGTCAGCAAAGTAGTGCTTATGAAGCTTTGCGTGACCTTCAGCTCAATCTCGAATAATTCTCAAACGTGAACCTTGAAGACGACGGCAAGGTTGTCTATATCTATCATGAAGTCTATGTCAAAGGATAGCCCGGTTTTGTATCATTAAATTCTGGATGGCTGTGTCCTCATCCTCGTCGTCTTCCAGGAGGATATCCATGAATTCGTCTTGATCAGATTGAACAGGCATTTGAGAAAGAAAGATTGATGACAAGATAAGAAAAGGATGAGTTCGACAGTGTCTGGAACAATAGTTTGTTTCCAAAACTGCAGTGCTTTGCACTCACTCATAGCATACGAGAAAATGATGCTAAATAATGCTACTAACCGTACTGTACGGCATTACGGCTGTGCACAGGGTTTTTTTGATACCCCAAACAGTACCATAGCCAATCCGTGCGACCCTCCGTACGTCACGGTTTATGGTGTGCGGCTGGGGATGCTCTGACACTGACACTGACTGTCAGGGCCCCCCACAACCCATGAATTCATGGGTGATAACACACTACGGACAGGTGAGAGGCTATCTGTCACATCCCCTGTCTCTACTGTTGGCACCTGTTCACAGCCAAAAGACAGATCCGGTGAAAACATTCAAAAGTTTCACCCATCTCAATCTATTTCAATCGTTCAGCTACTTTTTACCAACCAACGTAAAGAAGTCTTATCAATTTATGAAAAAGATTTTAAACAAACTCAAAGCTCATCAAGACAATCAGGGCAATCTCCTCATTTAAATCACGACAAAACAAATCAGATGATGATCATCATTTAGGGGATCAAGATAGGATTGATCAAGGTTATGCTACTCGTTAAGAATTCTCAACTCAAAGAAATTTAATCTTTGGTAGTAATAATCAAATGCTTACAGTCATTTGTAGGTTGGAGTTCTCTTATCAATGCTTGACTATTGCTAATTTGGATTTAAGGCCTTCTTCATAGACTAACCTTCATGATCTCCTTTATTCCTATGAATAGTTTTGATTCCGGGTGTAGATTTATCAGTAAGAAAGATTCAATCATGTAAACTCTTTTTGGTCTTTTTTCTCCTTTCATTTTAAGAGCTCTTATCTGTTGAATAACATTTGTTTGATTTCAATTTCTGACAAATTCTTCATACATAAATGCTTGTAATGTCTCTCGTTGTCTTGTCTATCTTTGTATTGTTATTATATCAATATGTTTGATTGATTCTTGTTCCAAAAGAAACACCGGAACAGCAAAAAAAACACAAGATAAAACCTTTGGATTCATCAAATCACATTGCTGTCTCTAATTTAAAATTTTTCATTCTGATCCAAAGAAACTTGGAATTGATTTGAGATTACAACAAGATCTAAACGAAATGATTTGAACGTGGTTCTTTTGGAGGCATCGCGGTTGCAATCGAGTTGAGGTGAGGTGGTGAACGATTGATCTTGATCAAGTAAGTGGAGGCGCGGATGAGACAAGGGGGGAAGCTGAGATGAGGGCAGAGGACCACGGGGCCTGTCACACCGGTGGCTTGCATCAATGAAAGTTCTCACCAAGCTTTCATTGGGGATGTGACGTGGCGGAAAGGAAGAGTGAAAGAATTGTTCTGGCTTTCACGGGCAAGGGGCAGGTCACTGAAAGGCCTGACTGTCAGGGTTCTCCCGATGTGGTGATCTATTTATGACATTAAGCAAAAAAATTAATCATCTTTACTTTACCAGTTTATTAGCAAACTTCAATATAGCAGAGGATTCAAAATTCAGGTTTTCAGATCAATTGAAGCTCTTAGAGGCTTATGTATACTTATTGGATCATTATTATGTCATCTTAGTTCAAAAATATTATTAAGATCAACATAGTTTACTTACAAAGTTATTACAAAAAGACAGAAAAAGAAAAGATAAGAAAAATTCGAAAATAGAGGTATACAGGTTGGAAATGGTTTTTAGCTTATTTATAATTAAGTTATGGGTTTTATAAGGTTAGAATATGAAAGAACAACAGTTTATTATACAGGAACAATTTTAATATTCAAGGTTGATAAGGGGAAACAGAAGTTATTAGCAGGAAGGTACTTTTTCGAAGTTGGTAAACAAGGGTTAGGCGTGTAGTTTACATATGTAATGGTGGTAGTAGTAGAAATTAAGGTTGCCAAGAGGATTTTCCGGGATTTTTAAGGTTATAGAAGATGATGTCATATTACATGAGCAAGGAAAAGAGAGTAGCAGCTGTGAAAAGTGAAGAAAACAGGTGAAAATCGGCGAAAATGAAGGTTTTCAGCTAATTACATATGTCAAATGACGTCAGAATAAGTTGGTAGATGGCTCATTCAACGCAGAAGAGTGGATTACATAATGTACAACCTTTAAATCATTAGTAACGGAGGTGTATGTAAAAGGTTATAAGGGAAATAAGAAATTGGCGTGAATCTCGAATTTACAGTCACAAGACACATGTAACACCAAAAACCTTAACTTCACAACTCAATATCTTACTCATCACTCATCAGAAATAGGTCTTATAGGTGTCAGAAATGATCAGTAACACGTGGGCTACAAGATCCACTTTAGTAATCAAAAATTGGAGCACATCTGAAAAAAATCGTAATCTCAAAAATTGGGTTTCAGCTAGTTTACAAGGAAAAAATCACCTGTATTCATCTTAAGAAGTGCTGTACATTACATCATTGCGTCATTGATCACTTTTGGCTGTGAAAATTACATCATACATTAGTAACAAGATCATTACATTGCGTCATTACATGGTTTTTAGGGTTATTTAGGCGGATTTGATTGGTTTTTGAGGCTGTTGACTGTTGTAAAGATTGTTACATGTGGATATAAGTACTCCTTGATGATTTTGGGATTGTAGCGCCCTTTTCTGCATCTTATACCTTTGTTGTAGTGTTATAAATCATCATTTATTTACTATATTTGTACTAAGATCACTTAAATCCGCCCCTTCAAAGCAAGGAGAAATTTATTTACGTGTGTTAAAGACTACAAGTCTAATTGGGAATAATACTTACAACAGTATTGCTAGTAATAAACATAGTGTGTGACTTTTTGCGCTTAAAATCTGGGAATAATACTTAACAACAGTATTGCTTTATTTCTCTGGTGCCTTTATCTTTTTCTCTGTTATCACAAAGTGGTCAGCAAGTGCCCTTGTGCTGGTTTCTTTGAAGAAGGCAGTCTTTAGGCAACTTCTACTATATTACACGTAGTAGATTATCCCTTCTTAGGTGTTGTAAAGCTCTTGTTGAGCTTTAAATACTACATATTGGTGACTCCACTGGGGCTCTTTACTTTATACAAGCAAGATCCGTCAATTATATTTAATAATTTCCCTAATTATTATCTTAAAACATCAACAATTTATTATTAAATCATCAATAATCAAATTAATAATAATACAACTCATCATTTCGAAAGAAAATTATATTCAACAAATATCAACAAAATTCAATTAATAAAATTCAATATCAATTATTAATATATCAAACAACATTAATCAATCTTTAAAAGAAAGAATATAACTTAAAACCCACGCATATATTCACTTTTAATTCATTATAACTTTCAAATTTATCAAGATTTCGAGTTTTTTTCTCTATTTTATAATATCATTTCATTATAATTAAAATCATGTCTTCAATTATTCAAATTCATGATCAAGAAGGAGGAGAAGAAGGGGATTCAGAATTAGAATTACCACCAACTTCTCATTATAAAAGAACTCCACGTAGTAGTAGAACTTATGCTCTAGAAAATCCTGTGAATTATTCAACATCTTTACCCTCTGGCTCTTTACCACCACCACCAGGACCTGCTTCAGGATCAACTGTACGTGGAAAACAACGTGAAGAATCAACTTCTGAGGATCCAATTCCACCTTCAGCATTTACTGGATTTAGAGAACAAGAAACATTATTACCCTCAGACCACGAGGAAGAACCTGATTGGCAACAACAGTTTATTAATCAACAACAACATTATTTAAGAAGAGAAAGAGAAATGGCAGATATAATTAATTTAATAAGACTTAAGGAAGAAAATGGGAAGAAGGAAAGAGTTAAGGAAGTTATTAAGGTGGTTAAGAAGGGAAAAGGAAAGAAGATAAGTAGGAAGAAGGAGGTTATTAAGGAAGAAGAAAGTGATGGTGATTCAAGCGCCTCAAGCAGCTCAAGTGATGATTCCAGCTCAACTTCAGAAGAAAGTGAAGAGGAAGAAGGAAATGAAAGGAGTAGGAGTCATGTTAAACCACGAAAAATTGATAATTCTGATACAAGTGTTAGATTTGAAGTTGGAGGAAATGTTAAGAAATTTATTATCAATTATCATAGTCAAGCTGAAGCAAATGGCGCCTCAGAATTGGATATGGTCAGGCAAATTACCAGTTTTGTT